CTCTCGCAGTTCCCTGTGAATGCCATGTGAAGAGGTGAACAGAAGGTATACGAAATCGTGAATAACCCGCCTAGGAATAATCCGTCAGGCATCGCTTCACTGCATTCACAAGTACTTCAATCCGGCTCATAAATACTAAGTATTATTGTGTTTATTGAATCATCTGAAAAATTGAACGTCCTAAACAAACACATAAGCTTTTCCATAAGCCTCTCGCTATTTGTTCAGATGGGATGTTTTGAATCTGTATGCATTGATCGAAAGATCGACGGTTCCACTGTTATTTCACTGGCCGATTAGCCCCCAGAGAAAATGACTAGACAAACATTTATCTTGTCGGTTAAGTCGACCTGCATTTCATATATTTCGGCAATGCACACTTGTCGAACTTTAATTAAAGTTTGCAAATGCAGTGGATATTGCCCTTCGCTTAAAAACTTGTTGAGATGTTGTCAAATCAAAGCGTTAGTTACGGTGACATTTGAGTGAAACTCATATCATAAACAGAGCCCCTTCTTCCTTTGATGTATAGATACTTTGTAAAAGTTTGGAATATTAAATTGCAAATCAGCTTCGAACGATAAGTAGCTGCACGGAGTCTTATCATCTTAGTTTAAAAGACATTCTTTCATCGTAAGCTGCTTAATTAGAATTCCATTTTGTTGGCGTGTATCAGTGACGAATCTTAATTATTTTTTTTTGAAACTTTCTTTTCACTTTGGCCGGTGAACCAAGAGGAGATTGATATCGAAATGCATAATTATGCTAATGCTATAGCAACAGATGACATTAATGATTCTTGTTCTTACATTCCCTGTAGAACATTACTTAAATGTTTTGGGATGTTTAAAGCGATACAATCACTAGAATGTCGCATATTTTATTGTGACGCTTATAAATTGCCGGCTGCTTACGCTTTTACTTCCCATTCTAACTTTTGAAGATTCATACGACCTGTCTCGAACAAAATTGGTGACAAATAGGTTACTAAATAACTAAATTATGTAAACTAACAATAACGTTCATTAGTCACTTATTATTCAGCAACACTAAACTTGCTTATTATGAACATATAACGTAGAGCAGAAAAATCTCAAGTTCCGTCTCTTTCCCAATTAGTGCAGAAAAGTGTTGTGCTGAAACTTGAGCTTTCATTTTTACATATGAAACTTGTTCATTATGATCAAATTCCGCCACTAATGAGTGCCATAGATAGTGCTTCACACCGTTGCCATTGATAACATTGCAACGCCCACGGCAGATGTGTGCCGAATGCAGTAGCTTACGATGGGTGTTTGATTCCAATGTTGAGTATGTTCTTGGTGTCTACAAGCAGCTGGCCGCAAATTTTGGTTCGCCCATATTCGGGTAATTTATACAAAGAATAAACGAAACCGCCTTCTCCTACACAAAAGAATTCAACACAACAATCGCGATTATCACATTATTTTACATATAGATGAGGATAAAAAAGAAAAAATAAAAGTACATTTTCATAACAAAATACCTCTCAAAGTCGAAACGAAGTAAAAAAGATTAAAATCCCATTCATCTTCGAAACTCTTAAATTAATCAAGAATTTGATAGTGGGTATGTAGTTGATGTAATTTTTAAGTTAGATATATGATAAAACTGAATCAATCAATTTATAGTGAACCAAAATTGTATAACAACAAAATGTTTTTAAATTTGGCTACATCCGCAAATAAATTTAATTAAACTCATCCATGAGTGCTACTGACAAGTTTCATTAAAATAGATTAACAAATAATAATGGCGACAAAAACAAAAAGCACAAATATAAAATTTAATATACCTACTTACTTTTTTAATAATTTTTTTTCAATGACATGCTCCTTGTCATGTTTAAATATTGTTGTATGAGCAGAATAACTATCTTTGATAAAACGCTTTTAACTTTCCTTACACCTAATATATGTATACGTACTGTTACAACACAATTGCTTTGTTACTCGGATAATTTGGTTACTTATTCTAACCAAATTTTTTTTGCCCATTAATTTAAAAACCACAAGTAATTATCTATTTAACTACATTATTTTAGAACCCTCTTTATAATAGTCTAATCTCATAAAACAATGTTTTTAATAAAAAATGTTTCTAGTCCATCTTCTCATACTACTAATAAAATGTCTCTATTAATTATAACATAGATATAATTTTTCCCATCAGAATCTATTTCAGTATCCCAGAATAAAAGTGTAAGTCACAAAACCACAAATACAAGATAAGTCGAATTGAAAATTTTAAAAACTGTTACGTTAAGTTAGAGTTAATATCATTTAAAAATGCGTATCTTCAAAACTATCAGAGATAGAATTTAATACTGTTTTGCACCAGAAGACTGGGAAGATATTATACATGAATCTGTGGAAACTTAATTTTCAAGAAATTTGGAGTTAGTACAGTTTTATTCTGGGGTACAGATTTGTATTTAATGATTTTCAATTAGCTAAGTTAAAAAAAACTACAACTGTTATTGAAATTCTTAAAAACAAAACTGAATTTAGCATTTAGCATCCATAGCAAACTGTTTAACAAAGAAAAAGAACTACATTTCCTGATTAATCAGATATTGTCTTCTTCTTTATATCTCTATACCCAGTATTTAATTGACTTCCTATGTTTTAAAATTGAATTGTACACTGACGTTTGTTAGTAATAGTTATTTATTTATTATACAAGACGATAAAGAAATTGTTGTCAATGTTATCAATTAAATTAGGTACAATTTCTATGGATCATCAGTCAAGCTAATTTAATTTTTTAAAATTTAGTTTTTATAACCAAAAAATTTGCTTGGATACAATTTTGTATTAGTCTCTTTGAAAAAACAAACTAACGGCAAATTAAGAATGACGTATGCACAAACCTGTAGAACATAAAAGAAGAACAAAAAATGGTGCTTCACTGTGTATTATCTTGATTTTTCACCGTTTGAATTTATATTGCAACGACACAAACAGAACCCCTTGTTACCTGCGTTAAAAAACCTCGGTGGACATGGACCGAAAATGATTGAATTGTATTTAACAAAGAGCTGAAACTTTATTAGTTTCGGAGTTAATATTGAAAAACATTCATTTCGAGACTTTAATAATTTAGCATCAAATACGCACCAAAGAGCAGTTTAATATTCGTCGTACCATAAAGGAAGGTAAATTTCATATTATGAAATTCTGACGTTGATATACAAGCAATAAGGTGGAATTCAGTGATGCAGCAAAACCACCTCGTTTTAAACGAGCTCAATAACTTAAACTTATTTCTTCTCGGCGGGTTGTTCCCAGCCTACCCTGATTTAACTACTTCCGTTTATTAAATTGAATAGTTAACAATAGCAATGGTTAAAATCCCATCAAGTGTTTGGATAATTACCCCAGCGTGGTCATAAATAATCGTTTTTAATTTAAGGCGAAGGCGTTGGTTATAGTCACGTGCTGAAGATTACAAATGATGTCGGGCTTAGGATAAAATGGTCAGATATTTTACGCTTGTCTGATGTAATTTAACGAATTCTATTCTGTTCATGGCAGTCATTTTAACTTAGAGCTTTTGGTATAAAGGCATTGATATTCAGAATTCGAGCGAGGGACCGCGCTTAATTCCATAAATTTAACGACTGACGTTGTCTGGCTGCTTGCATTTAGACATAAATTCCCTAAAATAACAATCAAAGCCCAGTTTACACGCCTAGTTGACGTCTATTGTCATTTCGCCTCGTTCATATGCGGCTAAGCTAATACGTTGTGGGGCTTTGCCGGGCACCTCTCAGTGAAATCACTCCGCACCATTGTTCACACCACACGTAATTCGAGGCCTCTCTGTTGTGACGAATTTCATTACAGATGCTGCAGCTGGACCCACATCACTGACATAATTCCCCGTCAATGCGGCTAATTCTCGGGTACTTACCTAATTATCATAAACACGCACCATGTGGCCACAGGGCTTCCACTCGGAACCGCCGAGAATTCCCCAAAGACGGATGCTCCAGATTTCCTTCTGTTATTTTATAATTGAATTTTAGCTTTAGCAGAAATTGCCAATTCTTCTTCTCTCGGTATTTGAATGTTGACAACTTAATTGGCTTTATTAAATAAGTTTGCGTTCTTTGAAAACAACTTATGCTGCGATTCTGATAAACACGGACTCCAATGACGCTAGTTAAACTTCATATATCGTGATTACTGCCAAAGTCTCGAGAACAAACGAATCTTCGAGACATGTTTACGTTCTAGCAAACACTGAAGGGACTTGATGACGGACGATGAAATTATTGGCAACGTCTCAGTCGTCAACGTAATCTTTATCAGAAACGAACTCGAGCTGAAACTTGAAGCAATCGATGCCCCGTGTGGCATTAAATTACTTTTTTACCTACTTATTTTCGATGCGTATCTCAAATCTTATTATCCTCCGGAATTAATAATGCTACATCCATCTCAATCCGAAATGGAATTGTATAATTAAATTCATTTCGTTCCTTTGAAAGCCTTCTAAATTTATAACAGCTATCTGCCTTAATTATTACAGGTAAGCTATAAGTAGAGCTAATGCGTTTAATTGTCACTAATTGAATTACAATTCTTTTTTCCAAGAAATTTGACAACGACGTATTTCACTCAATTTAAAGTGTTAAAACATTTCTGAATCTTGGAACACCAACAGCTAACTAATGACGAACGGAACAAAAGGAGTATGTCCCTCTTTGCATTAAATGCACATGGTGTTTGATGTCAAGTAAAGGGGGAAATTTGAGCTTTTCCACTAAACACACTTTTAGCGTAAAAGCAGCTGTTAAGAAAAATCGCAAGAAGTTTACTCGCTATTGGCTATCTAACGAAACTATACTCTCGATATATTGAATCAATACTTTACAACAAAAAAGTGCGATCACAGATGATTGAAGTGTTTTCGTAGTGCTTACTGACTTAAATTGGATAAAATTTTAAATTAGAGGAAAAATAAAACAAAAATACGTATACGCTATTTATTTACATTGATCACGCTTATGTACAAAGGTATAAACAACTTCATCATTTAAAATAGGGGTCCCTATTTACAACACATATAGCACATCATATGATATTGGATTGTCTTATTGTAAAAGCAACTTAAGATATTTTCAATTTTAAGCATATTTGGTAAACTTCAGCCTTGGCAAATGATGGGAGTGGAGCTGAAAAAAGACGTTATATGTAATCAATATTGTCTTAAAAATTGGTTGTGAAGATGTGCAATCATTTTCTAATTTAAACAAACTTTTCAAAAATTAAAAATTACAAAATACAAAACGTAAAAAATACAGGTGCACCAGAACTCGCACCCCAGAGAAAAATGACATATAAAGTAAGGAAACCAGGAACATGGGAAAAATGTTAAAAAAAATTAAAAAATTTCGAAGTCATGAGAGTTTAAATTTTACAATTTGATTCTATTTACTTCTGTTGGAAAAATAATTTTCGAAGTTTTTTTGCTACAGGTTATTAGAAGAGGAAACAAGGAAGCTGTATCCTAAAGTGTAACTTTGTTCAACGATATTTGTGGCTTTTATTGGCAAAATTTTGTACCTTTACATAATAATTGTAAAAAAAACATATACAAGATCATCAGTATCATTAAATACATTAAAAAATGTCAAATGTGAAATAATAAATGTCAAAATTTGTTGACAGAATTTTTTTAACATTTTTTTCATGTTCCTGTTATCTTGTCTTACTTGAAATTTTGCTCTGGGGCGCGAGTTCTGGCGCAGCCTGTATAGTGGGGCCTAAATTGGATTATGTGAACTCAAGGCTTACTTAATGTTGATAAAGCACTGTTCAGAATCGCTCATACAATACAAACTTAAAGCACAAATAAAAAAATTAATCATGAAAATTGTTTTTAATTTAGAAATTAATTTAGAATTATGTGACTTAGTTTTGAAAAATGAGAATTAAACACGAAGCGTCACCACTAATTCCAGAATAGCATGCAAATTAAAAATGAGTAAAAATGTAAAGAGGGGTAAAAATAAAGCTAATATGTTTTTTTTTTTTTCGTAGAACATATTTTAGTTAGCAGTTTTAGAAGGAAGATCTGTTTGGAGACAGAAACGTTATCGATTGCAGACTTACCCACTAAGTAATGGTAACGCTGTCGGCCCCATCGTCAAGTCGATTTATCACAGTTTAAGGTCCAACGTAGGTCCTAGTATTCGAGACATATCTCGGCTGTCTGCTGAGCCTAACCGGCGGCGGCGTAGACAAAGGAGGTGGTGGTGGCACAAAGCCAGAGTTGCATATTTCCGTGGCCGCATAGTAACGCTCGGGGGGTGGCGGAACCGGCGGCGGTTTCGGAAAGAAGTTGTGTAAGGGTGGCGGAGCACGGGGAGTTTGTGGAGGTTGTAAGGGTACAGCATATTCGGGGTCTCGAACGTCTGCATAATCAGAACTACCCGGAAGTCTTCCCATACTTGGTTCACGATAGAGTGCTGCCTTATCGCAGCCGCCTGGCACTTGAGACGGTCGCGGAGATGATTTATATCTTCTTTGTTGTATTACAACGAAAACTACTACCGCTACCATTAACACTACCAGCACTGATAACACGCCAACTATCACGCCAAGGTATTGTCCCAGTCCAGACGGAGTGTTTACGGCACTCACGACGTTTTTATTGTCCGCTCCCGGAGAGGCAATTTGATCTTTTTGTAATGTTTGTTCTTCTAATTCTTCCTCCTCCTCTTCGGTGAAATTGCCGTTAACGATAAACGAATCGAAAGTTACTTCGCTAATCATCAGCCATCTAGCCGCAAATTGTAGCTGGATTTTAACAAATCTCCCCACGCGATGGTAAAGTCTAATCGACACATTGCGTGGAGTTTCCCAGATGCGATCTTCCATGTAATCAAATGTTATGGGTTCACCTTTGTAACGTTTCCCTCCCACACTAAACAACACTTTCGCTTGTGAAAACACTTGCACGTCCTTCGTAAATTGGTTGTTAGTGTATATGTGAACGGCAGTGAACTCACGCACTTTGTCGAATTCGAAAACTATTTCGATCGGTTTGTTTTTACGCGTGTCATTCTTCCATCCGACCCACCCTTGTTGCGAATTAGTTTGATAAAACGATGCTTTAAAATCATCGGGGGCAACTTTCCCGTCCGTGAGTTGACCCAATCCGTACTGAAGTTTCTCACCATCCCAGTGCCCATCGTAGGCCGTGTCATAGAACTCCCAACTAGTTCCTCGCTTATCACCTTGCGGCATCGAATAACTTAAAATACCATCGGTCCATCGACACCCGTAAATTTCCACACGCATACAAACAGTCCTTTCGTGGTGACTCAAAGGTAGAAATTTGATTTTGCTCGCCCATATGGGCGGGTCAAGGATAGTCTTCGATTCGAGATATGTATTGATGTTGCCCTTCAAAGCTTCCTCACCCGACCGATTTCTGTACCGTATCCACTTATTCAGAAAGCGAGGTCGCCAGTATTCCAGAACATAGGCTTCTGCAAACTCCATTCCTTTCCCATTCCCGAACCGCCCTTGCGTTTCAGTCGCCGTAATCATATGGACCGTGTGTAAGTCTATTTGTATCCACTCCTTCAAATCAGGAGTGGCGGCACTTTGAGGACACCAAGCTCCCCCATCTAACTCGTTCCTCAATCTGAAACAAAAATGTCCGTGTTGATTCAAAGCGTGGTGCAACAAAGCAGTCTCCAACCTTCCGTGATGTGGTCCCACATTGCCATGCTCGAACGAAGAACTGGCTGTAATATCCTGATCCTTGATGGCACCCGATTCCATGCCCAGAGGCGCGATGCACTGCGCTGAAATAGTAAAACATTATTAGACGGTTTTGGGTTGGTCGGGCCCCATTTGTCGTTGCTTTTTTTTCGGTGGCTAATATCGTTATATGCAAATAGCGGTCTTTATTAAACGCGCGTCTGTGATGCAAGGTTCCAAAGGGAAACCGGCACATTAGAGATCTATTCCCAGCTGAAAACGCTGTGACATGCAAATACCGGTCCTTTTGTGCTCTCGCACTTCGTTGTGCCACCATTCACCTCCTACGGGGTCAATTACTTACAGGGATCGACACCATCTGCTGCTGTCACCAACAGGATCATCACTGACGCCAGGAGCACCTTCATTTTTGGAGCCGACCTGCTCGACCGAAGCCTACGACATTTATCTTATCTGAAACAAACGTCCACGGTTAGATTACCTGTTCAAATGGAAGGCAAAACGAGGCTACGTCAGATTACTGACCACATATAAACGCAAATTTTTCACCTTTTTAATCATGCTACCCTACTGTTGAAGATACACATATTTAATAAGAAATAAGACTAAAATACATTTGAACAACGTTCCTTCCGTTATTTCTTATTATTTAAAAGTAATGTTAATCCATACTTATTTTTTTAAGTTTTTTAAAATAATAAAACTATTCTTTCTGATATATTTTTGCCAAAAAATAAGAACGAAGCAATTAAATTGTACAATCTCCCAATTTATCAGTGTTTTATGTAAATAATTGTTTGAAAACACATACTGTACTGTTAAATCTGTTTCGTGTATCAGAGGCTGTTTTATCAGTCGGATATAATGAGAAATTAAAAAGTGGGCAAACACATGGTTTCCGTTTTAGCTCGTAAAAAATTTAGGTTTTAGTTATTCTCAAATTGCACAGTTATAAAAGTATACAATTGTCTACGAGATTACAAGTTGTGACAATTTTATTATTTATTCATTTAACAGTTTGCATAAAGTTTTAGTACAACCTCAAACAGAATAAGCAAATTTACCTTGGTTACATTCTTCAATTACTAATTCAATTTAAGAATTTTAATTGCTAAGACCTTGTCTGAGAATATTTAATATTTAATTAGTAACTTAATATAATTTAAGAGGTACAATTGACGAGGATTCTATTGTGCGCACGATATCAATTACTTATTTAAATAAAGCAGGATCCCTTCTGCACAGGTAATCGAAACTGAGAAGCCTGACAGTTGGTAGACAGTTCATTATATCTCTATACGTAAGGGACGAAGAAGCAAAAACCACGAAACTGACTCCATATTTGATCATGGAAGCGTTAATAATGTATCCAGACAAACCGGTGCTTGCTTTAGTGAAGTCTCTTGATATTTCCGGTTAGTAATATTACCCGTGGATGGCGAAGAAGCGTATTAAATGAAAGCGACAGTCAAAATTCAAAAGACGCTCCAAACACTATTCTTCACAATGCTTTGAAAATTAAATTAAGTGAAGACGATTTGTTGGGTCAACCAGAAGAAGTTGCACAATCAAACCGGAATGAAAATCTAAGGCGAGAGTATAATCCGTGAATAGGCAGAGAGTAGGCCTCACAAGGCGTCAGTCTCCGAGCAGGGTCTAAGCCAGCTTATCTTCGTCATTACCCATTACAAACACTTTACGAACAGAGCCGCTATTCTTATCAAATAATTACTGCGTTCTTCCTTTAAAGGAAACGGGATTCTAAAAACTGAATAATTAAATCTTTCCCACTGCTACCGTCACCAGCAGCTGTACTTGGCGCGCCCAAAGACAGAGGGCGGCTTGTTCTTGAGATGTTATCTGTCTGCAACCGCCGACGGAACTGATGACTGATCCTGATGGCAGACGAACGCCACACAAACTGACATTATTTATCTAACTTGAGTCGCCATCAAACACGTGTCGCTCTCATAAGGAAAAGCTCTCGATGTGTTTCGTCAATAAAGTGCATCATCAGGGTTGAGAAAGTTACTACCCAACGTGTAATAAATCGTGCAGACCACCCAGAACGCAATAATTGAGCTTACTCACTTCCAAATCGTCGTAAAACAGGTAAAGGAGCAAGTCGTAAAACGGTTAAAATTGGCACTAACGACACACTTAACAATAATCCGATATTTAAAATCACCGTTGTCATGTAGTACAGCCTATTAATTTTACGACAATTATTTCCAGATGTGGTCGCGTAAGTGGAGTTCGAGGAAAAATCTCGAATTCCTGCGTTACACATTATTCACTCCGAGGCGTAACTAACACTAAAATGGCATTCTCGGTCAAAGTTCTTCTCATTTTTGCTTCAGATGGCAAACACGTGCAAGACACCTAAACTGTAGCACACGACAATCAAAGAACGCTTACTGATTTATATTTCGGTCATATACTACAAAGAGTCTTGGTAATTATGTCACGTAACCTAATTCATAAAGACCTACCGCAGCTATTCAACCTATTGAGCATTTCTTTACTTTGGGTCGATATTGAACCTGGTGGTGTGAACGCACTGCCAGATCAATACTCACCCAAAACGTTGAAGATTCCCTTTATTAACTCTTGTTTCCTCACCTGTCAAATGCGTATTCACTCAGATTCAGAAATGGATGATGACGTATCGTATTCTTTTCAGTGTTTCAGTTCCACGGAAATTTATAATAATAATTGCCCCTTTGTATGAACGCTATTGCGATCAAATGCATTCCGAAACAAAAGAAGGGTCCCAGAAAAGAAAAACCAAAGTTAGGGAAAACTCTTTGACACTAATGAATTAAGCTGTGAACCCCGATGAGGGTTGCATTGCAAGGGTAAACTTAATGGCTTAAAACTTACTAACGAAGTTGTAATACCACACTACAAGTTTGATAGAATCTCAAACCTGAATAATACCTTTCTTTGCACTGCAACATTGTGACTAATAAGCGACACCATCCCCTGTAGAAACATCATTGGTGTATACAGAAATAATAATAATTTATTGCTGCAGTCGTCAGTGCATTGTTAGAAGAATTAGGTTTTATGGTGCTATATATCATCTTGGAGATCTCCAGACTACTCAATATTGCACGGGTATATTATTCCGACCACTCGAATCAGATTTTTTCACGTTCATTTGGTGAATGGTAGAATTTGTTTATTAGCTTTAAAATTCGACGAGGCAAATCCGTCATTGATCAAAATTTGAGTGCGGCCTTTCAGCATTTGAATATGCCAATTGACAATAATGCTTTACGTTCCAATAAATAACCCGCCAGCTGTTTAAGCAATATTATTCGATTCATTTGAGATTCATACAAGTGAAACTGAATGTGGCTACCTTTCTTTCGGGAAACGGCCTATTTGATCCGAATCAAATTAAACTAGTTATCCAGAATGGCCCATAAATAAAACGGTTTTCAGAAGTGTGTTGCTGTTGTAGCAGCCTAAAACCGTCTGTGTCCGACATAAATCTTCCTATTATCAGCGGACACGACAGTAGTAAATTAATAAGCTAATAGATAGTGTCAATTTATTTTCAACGGACGCACTGTCATCCATGTAAGATTTGCTTCATTTTTAAGCTGTTAGGTTAACAACGACGATTGGAGATACCATTTTAATTGGCGTGGGATTTTTAAAGTAAAGAAGCCACTTGACTTGTTTAGTTTCCGACGTGAAGAGTTTGAGAAAAATAATGCCAGTCGGTGCCAGCACGCCTTTGTTTGCCACAAAACTAACACTGTCAATAAATACATTTATTTGCTGTTTGCATTAACACTTGCTTATGGAAATAACTATTTAGATGTATGTACTTAAATGATACATTATCATCTCATATTTTCAAGCGATAAAATGATTGACATGGGAGTGGCGAGAAGAAAAGTCACTGAACTTATTTTTGTAAGAGGATGATGTTATTATTTTGAACTCTCAAAATCCGACAACACCTTTAATTAAGAGATACGGACTAGACATTCATACATAAATATCAATTGCTTTGAGTCATCGTAAAGGAAGAGGAGCGTAACGGTGCGACAGAGGAAATTGCGGTTTTATTCTCAAATTGCGGTTTTCGTTAAAGAGCGAACCAGATGTGAAGAAATCATAAGGTCACCGTCCTCTTGGGTGGATACATTTTTGGAAACAATTCATGACATTCTAACTGGTTTTTATGTGTAAAAGTTAAATATCATTACAAGAGCAACTACCGCAAAATAGTATGACAAGAATAGTTAGACACAGGCAACTCATTTCAAAAGTGAACAAATAGGCCACAACTTGTGTTTTTTTGAACTGATTGAAGACTTAATCTATGTATTTGACAGCATTTTCTATTGATGTTACCAAGTTATAATTCCACCAACGAAAAAAAGAAATCAATTGCATGTTTTCGATATTCTAGCACAGAATTTCAAAATATTTCAAAAGAATTATAGTTACTAGATTTATAGATAAAATTTAATTGTGAATGTGTTCTCTAAACAAAAAGTAATTTGATTTAAATGAGTGTTTTCGTTTGTTTTAATTCAGAATTGGTTTCACTTAGAAGTTGCCTCTCTAAGATTAAAACAATGTATAACAATAAAAAATTATGAAATAAAATTTTTGTTGTTAAATTTATAATAAAATAAAAGTATACTTATTTAATAAAAAAATATTGATTCAGATGACAAAAATATTTATTTTTGGATGTTGTATTCTTCTCCATAAAGTGTTTAAGGTATTTAAAAATAATTGATGTGCACCAGACTGGCCGTAATTTAACACTATAATCATATATTATTCATTATTTAAATGACATTCTATTTTCCCGCAACCAGTAGTTGAAGTAATTTGCTAACAAAAACTAACCAATTGAATTAGACAAATTCTATTTGCAACCCTAAAACAGACCATTTTAACGTAATTGCTGTTAAGAATCATAAATCGTACGTATACTTAACACATCGTAGGAAATCATTTACTTTACAACAAATTAACAAAATGCACTGTTTATTCACATGTGTTGATTCATCTCCCAAAGCCTTTAACAGTTTTTCGTATTTGTAAAAGAAAGTAGGATACGGTGTATCATACAAAAATATTTGGTAGCAGGCTTAATCTTAATCTCGAAGCTTCCTTCCATCCACTCTTTTTTATTAGACTGTTTATTTTTAACACCTTTCTTGGGCAAAATTAAAATAATGTCTAAAGTTTTTTCCTTCTAATTTTGGAGTACTTGGGGTTAACCAAACCCATTCTCTAAAAATATTTTTTACTTACTTTACTAGTGTAAAATAACAGGAAGTGACATGTCGTTCCCTAATAAACAGTTCTAATATTGCACCTTGCACCTCTAGTCTTGAAGACGAAATTAAGCCGTGTTTGATTTATGAGAACTCTTGACGTCCGGAATCCAATCCTTCATATTTCACATGTCATAT